TAACAAAGGAAGTTTAGATGAAAGTAAATGTTGCAGCTTTTAGAAAATTAGTTGACACTCATACTTGATCATCTTTACTACACAGCGGTATAATTAATATTTAAACATTCTAATAATGCAGCTTGCTTTGCATGCACTTTTCAGCCTCACAACAGTATATTTTATCTGGAATTGTGCTAGCATTTTCTTGGGTACTACCCATTTTCATAGAGTTAAATTTAAAATAGAGTAGGGCCTTAGCTCTTATGGCCAGAAAAACATCAATAGGAGAGTGAACAGGTTTCATACATCTCCCAGACAGTTTACAATTAAGACCAATATTTATCTGAGATAATAGATAATATATAAATTTTGTTTCATTGCCCCCGTAAATGTTTTTAAATGACCAGAGTAGACTTAAGTTATAAAGTTGTATTTGGCTGTTGTCCACTTACCTCTTACTATCCAAAATAGGAGAATTTTGACTATGTAAGACAGTGTGAAATCAGCAACTGATACATGAAATACAGAATTGCCCCATGTCTGCTCCTTCACTGGGGCATCTGATTATCATTGGGGCATCTGATTAACATAGTAAAGAATTTTTTTTTTTTTGTTTTACTATATGAAATCACTTGGAGAGCATTGTCTGGATTGTGACCGCTGAATACCCAGGAACTTAGTAAAACAATAAAACTGGTAAAACCTAGAGAAGTAAGCCAATTGAGAGAAGACTGAGCTAGTTTATTTTCCTATGAGAGCTTTCTTCCTGTCCCAGTCTCAGGGCTGTAGGTGGTCGGGAAAAGTTGTTTCAGGTGCTGCCCTCAGCTCAGTCGCTTTCAAGAGTGCAAGGTGCCCAGTGTTCTTGATCTTCTTATAGTTTGAATGGTAAGAAAGAGCATTTTACTTTTCCATTCTAACTTAAGTCCCCTTTAACTGTAATAGAATTTGCATGCACATATTCACTGCTCATTCTTTTTAAGTGAGTAGGTGTGCTGAGCTGAAAGCCTATTTTGAGCCTCAGCCCACATTAACCCCTCGGGGCCCCCTTCATGATAGGTGCTGTCCTGTGGGAGTCCTGTCATTTAGTGAAGCATGAAGCCATAAGACATCCACAGCCACGGCAACATTGGGGCATCTCACTTCACTTAATTCTGTGAAGCCTTGGAGTGGTGGCTTGCACATATCAGATGGCACAAATGAGAGCTGCCAAGTTAGGCAGGTTAGGTTTGGAGAGAGAAAAGAGATGTGCTATAGAAAAAATAGTCAATTTAAAATATTACTTCCGTTGCTGTTAGTTGCCATCAAGTTGATTCCAACTCATGGCGGCACCGTGTGTACAGCGTAGGACCGCTCCATAGGGTTTTCAAGGCTGTGACCTCTCAGAAGCAGATCTCCAGGCCTGCCTTCTGAGACACCTCTGGGTGAGTTTGAACCACCAACTTTTTGGCTAGTAGTTGAGCACTTAACCATCTGCACCACCCAGGTACTCTTAAAATATTACTAAAACCAAAACCAAACCCATTGCCATCAAGTTGATTCCAACTCATAGTGACCCTATAGGACAGGGTAGAACTGCCCCACAGGGTTTCCAAGGAGTGACTGGTGGATTTGAACTGCTGACCTTTTGGTTAGCAGCCAAACTCTTAACCACTGCGCCACTATGGCTCCAATATGTAAACGAAGTTCCTTCCAGATTGAAAGGAACAAAGGGATCTTATGAAGTGTCAAGAGATGATTTGCACGGACTTTTATTTCTTTATGTCGAAAGGAAGTCATTTCCACAGATTCCTGGATATGATAATTTTTATTTCTGATACTCGGAAACTGAACTGGTAGTTTAGTGGCCATGTATTTTATTGAGTTTGTTTTGAGAAAGAGTTAAGTGAACTCAGCTTGCAAATAACTAACAGCTCATGGACTATTTAAAACCTGCTACTGAGGTGGTAAAGTAGAGATAAGTCGAACTCAACTGCTGTCACATGTATGGGTTTGACAGATAGGTAAGTCCAAGAGTGGACCTAATTAAAAGCTTTTTTTATATGCTAATCTCCACCTGCGCAGGAATAATTTTTTTTTTTTTTTTAAAGGCAACCTACTGGCAGAGTGAATTCACGAGCTAACTATAACTGGTACCTGACTTCTAGGAATTGTTATGACAAAAAAAAAAAATTAATAAATGCTTTTATGAGAAAAGTCTACTGTAGAATCTTAATTCCAAATGGATGTCATGACAGCAATCTTATGATAGGAAAAATGACCCATATATATATATATATATATATATATATATACACACACACTTTTTAAACCTGAATAATAATTGCTTCCATATGTAATTGGTTCAAAAGTATATCCGAAGAATTACTTTTTCCATTCCAAATAGAGATCAAAGCAAAAACAATAGTCTACCTTGCCCTTCAGGTGGTAGCTACATGTGAACTTCTTAGTGAGTGTGAGAGACAGCCAGGGATGTCAATCAGAACCAACAGATTAACCCACAGCAGTGAAATCTGAGAGGGTTTATAACAAGTAGGTAATAGTTTCAGGCCTCTGTGAGAAAGCATAAACGAAAACTTCATGCTGGGACAAAACAAGGCAAGACATTTGAGGTAGAGAGTGAGAAAACCTTGCTCTTATTATGACAAAGCCCCTGCCATACTTGTGTAAATACCACTGGGATGTTGCTAAATGCCCATCATTTCTCTAGATTTTATATTATCTTACAAAAAGCTTTTGGAGTTTCCTTTAATTTTGATAAATATTCAAATGTGTGCATAATTTCTGCACTTCAGTTTTGAATGATTGAAAATTTCCCATGCTTGTTGAGTTTCCTTTGAAGTAAGAAGGCAGTTCTTGTAAAAAATAAGAATATTGCATTTCATTTTCCCCCAATTGTCAATAAACTAGGCCTTTACCTTAATATATAAATTGAAAACTCAGTAATATATTGAAGGGGGGACCAAAAAAGTCCAAGAGAAATCTTAAATATCAAATGATGACTCAAAAGAAATAGATGGTTATGGTTATCTAATGTAAGGTCCTATTTTTCTCTAATAGAAAGCTTAAAGTGTTTATAACCAGGTCAGAATTCTCAATAACTATAGAGAATTACTCTCTTAGATCCTATGGATTAAATTATAATCAATGTTTACAATATTGATATCATTTATAAATATTCTCTTCCTTCCTGGGTGGTAAGTAGCAGAGGCCAGTTTGGGGTGCCTTAGTGGGTGCAACAATGGGCTCAAACACAGCAATGATTGTGAGGATGGCGCAGGACTGGGCAGTGGTTCGTTCTGTTGTACGTTTGGTTGCTATGAGTCAGAACCAACTCAGTGGAACCTAAAAAACAACAACACCACCAAGTCTTCTTCATGTGGAAGAGGAAATTAAAATATAACAGCATATTTAGGCACTGGGCAAAATGCTGCGCTTTGACTTTGCTTAGAGAAAAATCTGTTAATGGTCATTTTGCTTTTTAAATGGAACTTTAAATCTGATGCCATGTGACCAGGCTGCTAACACGAAAGAGAAGAGTTAGCATCATTAGCATTCTTTGATTGGAGAGCACTAGGAGGTAGATAAGGGAGCAGCCCAGGCGACCCACCTCCTGGCCAGGGGAGGACAGTGCCTGGAATGTCTGCAATGTGTTTCTATTTTTGTCGCACCTATGTGTGGCCACCCATCTGGTCTGAATCAATCAGTCTCATCCCAGAGCCCCACTCCTCTCCCAGCTGAAATAATACCCTCCTTCCCCAGCGCTCTGCCTAAAGGAGGGCCACTGCTCATGATTCCCCAGGCAAGGCCTATTAACAAGGCTGGGTGTTTGTAAACATTGGTGAGCTCAGGAGGAGGCATGGGAAGGAGAATTTTGTTTTTATGTTTTTTTGAATATGTATATTTTATAGATGAACTCTGCTCTCCTAGAAATAGTACATGGGAAACTGGATGAACCAATGAAGATTTGACCCCAGAAGGTGGAGAAATCATGCCCTACCATTTTATATACATATATCCTAATTCTTTTTTTTTTTTTAAACGCAACTTTCATTGCCTTGAGGTTAAACCGTGAATTTTTGTGCTGTTACACCTGGAGTAGATAAAGCCAGGGTATCTAGGGTTGGCCATGACTTACCCTGAAATATTTTTTTAGGCTCCCTCACTTGGCTCCACACTAGAGGAAGTAACATTCAACGTTCTTAACGCAGTAACAACCCCACACCTCTGCTTCTAGATCATTCTCCAGGCATTCCTCACATGCACATTCTGTCCTGTACCAACTCAGTATCCATGCCTCCTCCTGTCAGAGGCCTACACACTTGACAGCCTCTTGCTAGATATTCTAGCTACTAGAGTATTGACCTCTATTAAAAGGGTCAGTAAAACCAGCCATGCTGTAGGATCACATAGCACTCTTCCCACAAGAGACTTCAAAACTTACTGAAATTGGCTTCAGCCAATTAAATAAGCACGGCATAAAGCCACTCATTTTCCCTATCTGTCCAGTTTTCCATTGCTGTGGGAAATACCACCCTATCATAGACCTCCCAACCGGGAACCCCAGAGCTATTTTTGTCTCACCACGGACTTTCTCATTCCCACATCCAGTCTGTTACCAACCATTGCCACTTTTTCTTTGCCAACATTTCCTGAATCCACCCCCTTCCTTTTCATTCACATAGTTGTGGTCTAAGTCTAGGCTTTGGCCTTGGCCGACTGGGACTGTGCAGCCTCTGCCCTCCCTCTCCACATGCCCATCTCAAACTCCAGCTCACCTTAACACCACTGACAAACTTTTTTTCCTGTCTGTGTCTTTGGTCCATTCATTTTCTTTGGGCTCCATTGAGACTGCTGACTGCTCTGAGGACTGGGTTCTAAATTAGGGCTTGTTCCGGTTCGAACCCCTGCTAAGAATTTGCATTTCCACCCCAGGTATACGGAATCAGAATCTACATTTTAACAAGATCCCCAGGTGATTCTTATGCATAATAAATTTTGAGAACCACAGCTCTACTAGTGGTTCTCAGAATTGGTCCCTAACCAGCAGCATTAGCATCACCTGGGAACTCGTTAGAAATGCAATTTATAGGCAGGGGTTCAAACTGGAATGAGCCAGTTCTAAACCCTGGTTCTAATGCTCCCTTTACACAGCTCACCTCTTCATCCAGATACCTTCTAGTTGGTCCAATCTTTTTTCTTTCTTTTCTGAGGTGAGCCCACCTATTACCGCTTTATTCAATCATCCGTTGCTTCAGAAACCCTTCTATGCTATACATGTCCCAGATTCACACCTAAGAGGGCAGATCCTGAAACTTCATATCTTTTATTAATTCTTTGCTTTTCTCCCTCCATTCCAGTGTAGCAAAGTGTAATAGTTGAGAGCATGCCCAGGATAAAAACTCCTGGCCCCACCACTTGGTACTATACCATTGGGCAAGTTACCTAACATCTCTGCACCTCAGTTTCCTCATCTGTAAAATGGATTGTTGTGAAGACTAAATGAGATAATTCATATAGAACACCGCTGGCGCATAGTAAGCACCATTTAAGTGTTTGCTATTATTATTATTACCGTATCTCAAAGGCCAGCTACCTAGTCACACCTCCTCAGATTCCATCATGTTGTGTGCTCTTATCTCCTTGCATGTAAATTTGGTTGACAACACAACTGGCTTTCTTTAATCTGGTTCCAATAGTACTTAGACTGCAAGGACAAAGTTAACTGAGCGTGTCTCACACAGAACCAGGTGACTGAGGAAGGTTTAAATAATGTTTTTTGAGGGTGAATATGAAGATAATAATGTTAAAGCTGACAGTGATGATGAAGATGATGAAAACTTGCCCAGATGCTCCTTTGGGTCAATACTCTTGGCTTGTACAGCTAACTCTCCAGGAAGGCTATAGTATTCCCCACTCAAATTAGTTCTTTCCCGTCCTGTGGAAGCATACTGTGCGTAAGAAAATATGTTGTGCAGTATGCATGAGATTTGTTTCTCAGAAAGCAGAGAAATGGTAAGAATTTTAAGTGTTCTACATGCTTATTTAGATGGTACATCAAGAGATAAAACAAGTGAAAACTCTGACTTGTTAATAATTTACATTTTAGTGGAAAACTTGTGCATGCTGTTAAGATACCTCTAAGACCCAGCACAGAAAATGCAAATAGCTGACATCCACTGTGCACTGAAGACAGAATTTGAGAACAACATCAATTAAAAAAAAAAAAAAAATCCAAGTGTTTTCAAGGGAATATTGACCATATTTACAAGGCTATAATTATACTTATTAATTTCACAAGGCGTTTGTTTTGTTTTGTTTTGTTTTTTGAAGTAATCATGTGGATGAGCTCTCCATTCATCAGGTGTTTCTCGCAGAAAATCCACTGGGCCTACCTCTCCACCTAGGAGGTAGCTTACAAATAGGGGATTTCTTTTCAGCAAGCAGCACCATTACTTTTCTCTACTAGCTTATGCAGAAGTTTCGTGGGGGAGGGAAAAGCCCAAGCCAAAAAGAGAGAGAGGAGTGTGCATGACAATAACTACCTCTGTCCCTTCGGTTTTTGTTCTTTTCATGTCATGGAACTTTTTAGCTGTGCTGCCTGGTAACTGCTCGGGAAGGTTGGAATATCTGTTGTTGAAGGAGGTTTGTGATTGAGGGCCCTCTGACACAACCTTTTGTTGCATTGAGGTGTTTGATCCTCTTTCCCTTTCTTCTAAAACCAATCCCATCCCTTTAAAAAATGGATAACCAGCACTTCTTTTACTTATTGTCAGCTTTTGGGAAGTTACGGTGGGGGTTTGTAGAAGTTTAACCAGTTAACCCTTTGCTCGCTGATGTGCTGTCGAGACATTTTCTTTCTAAACAACGGAGGGTTTTAATCGCTTCTGTCAGGTATATACTGATTTTACTCATGCCTTAGCGAGTGAGTCACATTAAAGTCCAGAAATAAGGTGTCTGCGCTCAAGGTCTTGAAATTCTCTGAGAGAGATTCGGGCTTTGAAATGAGACACATCCCAATTTTTTTTTTTTTTTTTTTTTTTTGCCCTAGATCTGAAATGGGTAAGAGTTATGACTCTGTTACCTGGAAAATCTGACAATATATACCAATTTTTAACTCAAGAACAACAGGTTGTGGTAATAAGTAAAGGCAAAAGGGCTACTTCAAAACTGGGGTGGGGGTGTAGTTGGATGACAGCAAGGCAGGAGAGAAGTGTGGGGGTCTTGTTCCAGCTGGAAAATTTTTCCCCAAAACAAGGGGCACAACCCAGCCTATAGGAGAGAAAAGCAGCTTAAATGGATTATTTAACAAAAAAAGGAACTTAAGGCTTCTAGATAGTGACCTACATTCTGCACACAATGACGATGTTTTACAGTGCTGATAGGGTTAATAACCTAACATCATTCATGTAGTGTTTTTTGAAAATTGAATTTTACTGCTACAAAGTAAATATAACAGCCCTCTGGAGACAATATTACAGGCACTTTATTGTTTGCTAAGCTGATGTCATCTTTCTACAGACTGACTTTAAAACAAAGGCAGAACATTTATTACAAATATCACTGTGTGAAAGGAAATCTACTGAAATATTGTTTAGAAGGTGAGCTGATAAAAAGTATTAATACTTGGCTTTGATCATCTTACACTGTCGAGTTATGACTTCAAAATGCTTCTCATGTGATCTCTATTCAGGCAAAACCTTATCCTGGAAGTTCCTATCCATGCCAACATTATTTGCCCTCAAGTTGGAATATTTGTTTCAGTTTCATGCATGTTTTAAATGCATTTTCACTCTTAAGGCAATTTCTTAACAAAGTTGATGAGCTTTGGAGGAAGAGATTAAATAGCAGCTTTCAAAGATGACGTATGTATGATTTAAGAAACAAAGTATAAAGATTAAGTTGTTTCATCTATATAATGAACTTTCAAAAAATCACCTGTAAGTGGTAACTGGGAAGTTTGCAGTTTAAATAAGCTGTTTTCAGGCACTGCCAAGCGAGCACTTGCATCGCAGGTTGCTTGCAGTTCAGAGGGTTTGGTTTCTGTATCTGATGCACGTGTAATACAGCATGAAGTTGTTTGTGGATCACACAGGAGCTTCTTAGAGCTTCATTTCCACACTGTAGCCCTTGAAAATGTATCAAATGAGCAGACAAGTTCGGCTCTTCCTCACACGACACGAGTAATTTGTTTGTAAATCAGTTACCTTTCAAGAAAAGTTAAATTAGGGGGAACTTTTCGTTTCTTTGATGTTTTCCCACTTAGGAAGCCAAAGAGGAAATTAATGATTGTTTTGAAGCAATAATGATAATGGGAGAACATAATTTTGTGAGTTACGCTATCTCAAAATAACTTTTCAGGTATGGCATATAAATAACAGCCCAAATGACCAAAATAGCCTGGTAGTGTTTTTCTAAGAAAATGATTTACTGCTCAGCCTTTGTCTCTGAAGTCTGGTTAGAAGGAAAACACAGGTCAAGGAAATTGGGTTAGAAAAAAAGCCTGTTATAAGTTAGGTGTAGAATTGTATGAATAGTGTCTAATAGAGAGTCTGTGGGCACTCGGGGATCAGCAGAGTATAGACTCACAAGTGCTTGTTAAATGGTTTGTCCTGACTGATGGTATTTGCATCAGTCAAAAATGAATCCACGTACACCTACTTAGCATGCTCTATCAGAGGCAATGTGTTAGTTGGTGTCTGGGTCATGCCCACGAGAAAGCTGTTAGTACTATGATTGTGATTAAACCAGAAACTGAAGTGCAACATTTAAAAAAAAAACTTATTTTGCTAATGAGTACACTTCTATATGCGAAATCATTTTTTTTTAAACTTACACCTATTTGAAGCATTTTACTATGAAACTGCCTTTGATTTGTTTGGCATGGAAGTTGTTTTATATCCAGTCATTTCATTACTATATTCGACAAATATGAGCTACTTAGCATGTGCCAGGTACTGCACTAGTACCAAGGGTCCAGAGGTGAGGCTTCTCAAAGCCTCACAGACCGGTGTCTGGAAGAACAGCTTGGCAAGGGACAGAGCCTGACATGTTTTAATATTCAAGAAATGTTTGGTGGGTGACTGACAGAGTGGATCGGTTAATGATGGAGGTAAGTCTTGATTCAGTGTAGGTACAAGGAGGGAGAGAGATTCTCTCTCTTGAATATGTTGGGCAGGGAAGCTGTAAGAGAGGATGTGGTGGAGCTAGCCTTAAAAAAACGAGGGAAGTTCACCATGTGGGTAAGAACAAGAATTGTCCGCCAGTGGTGGAAATAGCATCCCAGGGTATAGTATGATTTTTAGTGACACAGCCCACTTCTGGCCCCTATACTTCTCCTTGCTGCTTCTTTAAGGGTTGGGTCCTTGTCCCTTCACTCCCCTCTCCCTGTTATGCTGTCAGAAGTAATATCACACACATACATGCACACACACTCTCAACCATTGGAATTAGGGTGTCTACCCCCTCAAGAAAGACTCCAAGCATCTCATCCGTTTCAGGAAAAGGAGAATTGGCATGCCTAGTCCCTACTTTTTATCGATAAAAAAAAAATTTTAGCTGTCCACTAAGAGCTCATTTTTGACCAAGCACTGTTTCTAAACATCTGACACATAACAAAGTAAAGAAGTGGGGGAAGGGGGGGCAGTTCATACTTAAACCATACATCAGTCTTGTAATGAAAAAGATTTTTCAAACATCAACGTGAAATTGGTCAATCAAATTATTAAAGTTACCTTCTGTCTCCAACTTAGCAAGATGGCTCATGTGTCTCAGCAAGATACTCAAACCTGGACAGTTTGAGACAGTTCCAGACTCTATGAGGCCTGTGTCATTATCTCCATAAATGGAACCCAGATTCCTTTCTTCCGCAGCTCTACATTTCCTCGCCTTTGATTTCCCTTCTTTGCTTTGTCTTCTGGCAGGCCTTTCCTCTCTCCTGTATCAGCAGCTCTATAGGCAGATGTGCCTCTTTTCCCATTTGCCAGCACCCCCCCCCCAGATCTTCCAAACTACTCCCCTTTGAAGTCTCTATTACTGATACAATCACTTCTGTTTCCCTTCCATCCCTTCTCCCACCACTCCAGCTTCTTCTCTCCCTAACCCCATTAGTTACATCTGCTGCCTCTACTATTCAGCCTGTGTTACCTCGTAATGTGCTTGACATAACTTCAGTTTGTCTGCTAAGCAGTCAATCAGCACTCACGGCTATCTTCTGATTTGTAGGAAACGGGCAAGAATGACTGAGCTGGCTCAAAAGTCTCTGAGTGATTCTGCTCTGTCCAATTAGCCCAACTAAAATGGGAAATTGACAACTGATGATAATGAAAGAAATGGGTTTTAGTTAAGCATATAAATCCCCCAAACTTGTTTCCTGATGCCTGTGGTAGATACTTTGTTCATATGGTGGTCAGATGGCTCAGAGAATGTGGAAATGGATGGATGAAGGGAGGTGTATAAAGTAATTGCAATATTTGTTAGTTGAATGAGGTTCTTTCCCTGGGATCCATTAGTGGATTTTTACGGGATCGGTGAACCACCAGAAAGTGCATGTAACGTTTTGTATATTGGTGTATTTCCCTGGTCCATACGTTTAATCAGTTTCTTAAAAGGCTATGTGACCCCCCCAGAAAGGTGAAGAACCGCCAATGTAAGTAAAGACACCTATTTTGTTTGTGTTTTTCCGTGGTCTGCTTTTCCCCCAGCATATTTTAATATTCCCCGTGATCCGAGCATTTCAGAAAGTAGAAGTACAAGGTTTTAAAAGAAAAAAAGGTACCTTGTTTCAGAGGAAAAATGTTTAAACCTCCTACCAAGTTATATAATTCACGCTTTTTATTTTTATTTTAGTTTTACTACAATTCAAAGACAGGCCTTTTTTTTTTTTTTTTTAAACAATGGGTATAATCACACATCCGAACCTAAGCATTAGTTTTATGCAGTCCCATAGAAAACCAAAATCTTGAGGAACACTTTCAAAACAACCAGAGAAAAATAAACCATTCCTTATGTCAGTCTTGTTAGAGAGGGATTAAGAAACTGGCAATTATTTTGGCGACCTTAATTGTTGCTCGGCAGGAAAATATGTAATTAGAGCACGTTCCCAGGCCTGCACACCTGCAGCACATCCTACAGTATAATGTCAGCTTTCAGTGCCCGCTGGTGCCAGGTCCTAGCACAACCAGGCACAGTGACGCTCTGAGAACATTTCGGACTCTTGTAATGTGGCTTCTGTGTATGAAAGAAGCAGGCATTTACACTGTCACACAATGGAGTGCATTACTGCAACACTGGTTTCATTATTTTCTGACGCCTACCTTCAGCACTGCCCTGGTTTACTCCGTTTGAGGTTTTATTGTTACGGTATAATAGTCCTGTACATTTTTGAAATTCCCTTATTATTCAGCTTATTAATACAGAACTGACTTGATTATCAGGCTGCAGTTGTACAGGGGAAAATTCAGTGCATTAGCTAAGTCAGAAGCTGAGTAAATTCTTGGGATAATGAGAACAATTGTTGGACATTTTTTATGTAGAAAGATGCGCTGTGGTAGTTCACTATATAGTTGTATTATGAAGAATTTGCTATATATTCTGTATACGTTGTTGAGTATTCGTTTTACGTAGAGAGATAACTTAAAGTATGTTCCCACTAATTTAACGTATTTCGGGGTATGAGAGGACTCCATTCTGTCTCTCACTAGCTCTTTCCTTCTTTTTCTCTTATTGGCCTTTTACAAGAAAGAAACTCAGGGGTTAGAAAAAGTAGTTAAAATAAACAGTATGCAGGATGCCTGCTTTCCAGATAAATTCAGTAATCTGGCATACTGATAGTTAACAGACTTTTCCCCCCTAAGGGAGATACACTGTATTTTGCTATCTGACATGTTGTCATATATAAAGAAATCAATTGGTAATTAAATGATGCACCTTGTGAAGATGACAAAAGGCATTTGGTTGCGAAAAGAGAACTGGGTTTTGAGGGGTTTGTAATGAAGGCCTAATGACTATTCATAAGAGATTTTCAGTCCGTTGATCCACTTGACTGGAAAGTTCTGCCCTGGAGAGTTAGTGCTGTCAGTTTCTCTCACCTCAGAAAGCCGCCGCAATCGACGGTGTAGGGGATGAGCGAGAAATTATCTAGTTGTTGCTCTAGGCCTGTCTTAGGTCACATGCAGAAGGCACATCTGGCTTCCTGTAGGTGCAACCTCAGGACATAAACTTTGACTAATTTTTAAACTATAAATATGTACGAGTGACACTGAATAAGTTACCTTTTATTCATATTTCTTTTATTTTAGAATGCATGCGAGTTGTGTGGTGAGGCTGCCATTTTGGCCTTATTTTTCCTCCAGTCTTAACAGTAACATGTTTGCTTGTTACGCTGAGAGTAACTGTTTTTGGAAATTGTCAAGGACCAAATGATAACAGCCTCCCTTATGTGAAATCAAACAATCGTACCTTTGCGGTGAATATGCCAAATATGCAGAAAGGTCAACTGAAATGAGTAAAGAGTATATTACTGTATAGTGCTCCTGGTGGGTGTTGGCAAAAGGCAGTAAGACATCTAAATTTATATACATAAGAGTAGATACAAAATTTCTACCACATAAGGAAGATCTACAGAACACTATTCCTCCAGTGTCTCCAGAAAAAAAAAACGGAAACAGGCATTCAAAAGGTACCAGTTACTGTCAACCATAAGCCAGGCACAGTACTAGCCTCAAAGGATTCAAAGATGGAGGAAACAAAATCCCAGCCCTCTCAGTTTATTGAGAAACAGAGAAACAAGAAAATAGGTATACTATAACATGGAAAGAGCTGTGGTTGAGTTGTATAACAACACAGAGTCTTAGAATCCGGGAATGGGTTTTCTAAGAACTGTGGGGGTCCACAGGTGATATGAAAAGTTCTTATACATGTTATTCATTCATTGGCAAAGCCAAATTAGCCAATGAAAAGATGAATTGGAGGAGTCAGCTATCCCTGTTGGATCTGTGCTTACCTCTAGAATCCCAACCAAATGGTCATGGCCAGTGATTTCTGTACATATTTACTCTTGGAAAGTGGTCCTCCATGTTATCTTATCGAGCAGCTCACCTAATCAAAGGTAAACACATTTATCACCTCATTAAGGCTTGTTTTATGGCCACTCGAAAGTGATGTTGGAGGTGGAAATACTTGTCAGAGTTCCTTGTCTGAAACATCTTTGAGGAGGACATTATGGAATACTAGAGAGGCTTTAATCTCTCAATATCAAAATAATTTAATATATAATGTCTATTTGAGATGATGTCAATGATGTTTCCCACTTGTGTATTGTGGCACAGAGTTTTGCTGCAGTGTTTGCTGGGGCTGTCAAGGTGGACCAAATGAATGGACAGATGCCAAAAAAACAATTATGCTTATTAATGCACATTGATTGCTTATTTAGGTAATAAAACAAATTAAAAAATACGTTAGTATTTAAACCCTTTTAAAGCTGAGCTAATGATTGCCTGTAATATAGTGTCTAGTAAAGAATATTCTATAATACCTGTAAAGCCCAGCTACATTATCTAATTAGTAGACTTTGATTTAAGTGGCTATAATTATGGAAGTGAATAGTTGCCTCTCTAAATAACAAAATGGTAGATTTAAATATATAAAGATGTTGACTTGATTATTTAATATTTGTAGCTAAGGCAAGCCACCTAAATAGATTAATTCCACATCAGTGCAACATTAAAAGGGAGAGAGGATGCCAAGAATCCCATTAATTTGGGGTATAAGTGCCTGAAATTTCCTCGAAACATTTACACCAAAGAGTACCAACAAGACAGTATCAAGCAGTATTCGCTAAGGATACAGAGGTAAGGCAAACATGATTTTAAACTGCACAATATCACAGAATAAAATTAAGCATGGTAGGTTCCACCAGATGCTAAGCATAGCCACCATCCATTGAGCTATAAAGTACTTGCCTAAGTAAGCATTTTGTATACACATCAGCTCCATTACCCCTTTCTCCATGAAGCCTTCGCTGAGTATTCACTCTTTCCTTTACCCTGCCATGAGTCCATGCGTTCAGTGAAGATGGTGCTACTTGAAACCATAGCGTGTCACTTGTTCATCATTGTCATTCTACCATGTATTTAGATTGGGCAACTCTGGTGCCAAGAAAGCTTCAATACATATTTGTTTACTTGAATGGCCAACAAGCAAGGAATTAGGTGACCTCTTTTTTTCTTTCTATGATTTACTTTGGCTATTGCATTTGAAACATACATTCTTTACCCAATAAAAGCTCATTACTTCCTTCACAGACTGTCTTATATTTTCCAGACTTCCTAACTTGAACTTCAGCTGAATTGGTTTCAATAGTTTTTTGGCTTCTCACCCTATTTTCTTCAAGGCCTTTGAGTCATAAACATTGAGTACCCCAGTGAATAATCAGTATGGTAGCCACCATTTGGTTGTCCCTCTTAACGTTTGGGGCTTACCTTTGAACATAGTCCAACTGCTCAGAAGGGCATTTTCACAAATTGTTTACCATGGTAGTTGCTACCCCATTGGGCTTTTCATTCCAAACACATAGGTGGAGAGCATTGATGTCAGAGTAACAAAAAAATGTGTACAATTTTTTAAAACACTGAATTTACTGAATTCCCGTATTATGTTTCCAGGCTGCTCTTTCAGAAACTGTGCTAATACAATACTCCTATAAACCTATCTTGGCCCTGGCAGGCCCTGTTGGAACTAATGGGGCCTGACAGTCTTCAGTTAAAAATTATACATGAGGGTCACTTTCCCTTAAAGTATCTATTGTATGCCAGCTGTTCACAACTGCAGTGCTTCACTTTCTTTGCACTGCTAGAAATGTCTGCTTTTCTCATAATATCCATAGCAACAACTCTTATGGATGGCACTGAAGTTAGCACAACTTCAAGCACACCTTCATGGAAATCACACTAGAGTTGCGTTTTCCATTTTATTTATTTTTTTCCTGAAAAAAATGTTTAGATGGGTCTTCTTGCCTGCTTCATGCCACAGCACTTGAGTTATATCAAAATTTCTCATTTGCTGCACAACTTTATTCTATTTTTATGTTCCTAAATGACGCAGCTTCAAGTGCCTGTGAGTGGCACTTCCGTGCTGTGAGCGCTATCAAAGGCAACCTCAGACAGATAAAACTCCTGGTTTTTTTGTTTTGTTTTGTTTTTGCTGGGGAGGGGAGGAAGAGTCATTGCCAAGCACCTTCTTTTGTCTTCTAGGGCTATTAAAACCATAACCAATAGAACCATTTAAAGGAAAGAAAAAATTCACCCAAGTCCTATGTCAACGAAGTGTCTCTTCTCAAATGTTCCTCCTCACGACACAATAGTTGTCTTTGGATTATAATTAAAATGAGGCTTTTTTTTTTTTTTCTTTTTTCTTCTTTTTTCAGAATGTCCCCAAGTGAAGTATTTTCCCCAAAGTTATTGGAACTCTTTTACCAACAAGCGTCTGGGATTTTAATAAGTCTGTTCCCTCCAAACAGAGTCCTGGATGACAGAAGAGAGTATGTAGTACAAAAGTTACACACTCGGGGACTTTTTTCTCTTATTGGGGAGGTGAGGTGGGAGGATTTCCTTTAATTATGAAATAAGTGTGACATTAGTAATTACTTCTGTAACTGGTGGAAATACTGTATATTTAGGACCTAGTTTCTAGCACATGCTATCATGTGTGTGATAAAATGGTGACCTGTGCTTTCTGAATTTTTTGGCTATTAAGGAACAAGCAGATTATAACTAGTTGCTGTGGAAACCTGATCATCTGGAGGCTTATCGAGAATGTATCATTATTTTCTAAACCTTGGTGGATAAGCTATCGACTGCAGCCGTTGGACAAGGTCACATACTGGTGGAAACGATACGTCTTTCCCCTTTCCATTGTGTGATCGTCTGGGGTCTGGGGGCATTAATATGCAACGGTCCTGTTTTTCTTTCAGAAGGACTTGTAAACCTTCAAACAGAGGCACACAGTTTGCAGTTGTGGTGGTGCTGAGTGGGTGTAGAGAAGCTAGGGCTGCAGCCTTGTCCAGTTGCAGATCGAATAAAGCTGACAATGATGCAATGGGCCTGGCATGGAGACAACTCTGTGGGATGGATGAATGGTGTGGCTCTCACCGTCCCTCCGGTGGGGGTAGGCCCTGTAATAGCTAGCATAGGAAGGGTGGTGAAAATTGATACGCACTATTACTACATGTGTAAAACTTAACACTGGGGCCATTGCACAGGTGGGGGGTTCCTGTTTATTGATTTTTATGACTTTGTTAGAACATACGCTTAATGCTTTTATATGCCAGGAGCTCTGGGAGGGCTCACCTTAGGTAATAAACCTTTCCGTACTTTGCAATCACTCACAATTTACATGGGGACTCACATTATCCCGTACAAAGCTCAGCATCCCCCTTCTACTTGGTTTTAGAAGTGCTATAAATAAGGCAAAGAAAATAACTATAGCACTTACTTTGAATTTTTTTAAAAACTTGTCCACTCCTGCTATGAAAATGGCCCCTAATTCTAATTACTCATATTTCCAAGAAAAATTAGTCACACAAACTTATGTTATGTATTGTCTCAGAGGCTGAAAGCAAATTAGGTTTCCAATAAGACAGTACATCAAACAAAGTAGCATGTTCTTGATGCCGATGACTTTTTTTTTTTAGAATTATGGTTGGACATTTTTGGCAGACAGATTGTCTTTTGCTCTATCAAAATGACAGTTTCTTTTGTAACTGCTACAGTCATAATTAGAAGGAGAGAAGCAATCTGCCCAATTTAATATACTAAAAGAAGTTTAGAGGCTCTGCTTGTAATTTCATTATTTTAAAATTTGAATTAATTGTCTTAAAATAATACAGTTAAGAAGTATAACTAGTAGGATTATGGAGAAAGGTTTATTTTCCCTTTAAAAATAAAAACTCTGAGTAGTACACTTCAGATGAGATTAAAATGTCCTTTTTATGCCAGGTGCCCTCTTCTGAGATTCAGAGCAGGAATGTGAATATTCATCCTTGGAACCGAGCTCAGAGAAGTTGTAGGGAAAGCCCTGGGAACAAGGTCACTTTAAACAAAAAAGTTCTCCAAGTTTCCCATGCTTGTGAGGCTGGCTGGGCTTAATTAAGGCCAATGGATGACCAAAAAAAAGAAAAAGCGAAAGAAAAGAAAATGAAAGAAAAAACAACCAACCCTCCCCACTTTCTGGGCCTCCTTTCACATCCCATACCTTAGCTGTGGATGTTGAAGCTCTTTAAATACATCAGGAATAATATTTCTCAAATTCCTTACTAGCGTGGATGTGCCCATGGCTCGGCATCATTCTTCCCCATTCCTCAGTCTCTAACCTACGTCACTAGGTGGCCCTCCCCCTAATACCACAAACAAAAACAAACCCAGAGTCGCATTCGGGATGAAATCATCATAACATAGCGACCTTGTTGTGAACGTGACATTTGGTTTCAGCAACCCTCTTTTATGCAGCCCTGGCCAAGCTTAACATTTCCTGTTGCCTCAGAGGGTAACCTTTCTTCATATTTTCTTCAGGATCTTTCTTTATAGGACTTAGTGTGATGCATACCCATGATGCACATAGGGCTAAAAGTTTTGGAGAGCGAATACTCACATACATGGACAACTTGTTTTTCTCTATCAGGGAATGAAGCCTGCCCTCATTTGTAAGAATACATACATAGCAAGATTTCTTTTTACCCTTGCTGGATGATTTTTGTCACACTCAACACTGAAGGAAACAGACTCTCTCTTGCTGTTACCTTACTTTGTCTCTTAGCTGTTCCTCATCTCTACATGAGCCATCAAATCTGAATGTGACACAGATTTTTAAAAAATTGCTCCATCTATGAGTTGTTGGGTGTTTTTCTCTGCCACAAGAAATTACAACATGAAGTACCCTGTACGTTTTTTTGGCATGTTTATAAGACAGCAGGAAATTTTTTTGACCCTAAAAACTTTCTGATTATAAGCTGTGCTCTAAATCTACAGAGGCTTCGTCCCACGTCCCACACTCTTTTACACGTATGTCATTACAGACCCGCAAGGGAGAAGGCAAATTTCCCCATGGCGGTTCTGAAATCTGATGGAAGGCTAGGAGGCCATGAACCCACAGGGCTGATTATACCTGACACCTACATTTCAAAATCTCCTGTAGTCTTCTAGTAGTTCCATAGATCCTTGTCTGCAGTACTGTGTCCTAAAGAACTGACATTTTGTTCTGTTCTCATTCATCTTAATCTCCTTAGTTATATATCAAAAAATATGCACATTGATATACCCCAAGAAGCCATGGATTAAAGCACCTTATATTTTAACACAGCTTCCTCTAAGATCTCTCATAACTACCTAATGTTTAAGGCTTGGGCTGACGTGGGTTATAGGGGTCTGTTAGCCTTTGTAGATACTTTTCTTTGCATATGTGTGTATTTATATGTGTACATACGTATATGTGTGGCTTAGGGCTATGCTGACATATTACTTTCTACATGTCCATTGATTATAAACAGCAGGCAAGCAGACATTTCACTTCACTGCTCATTCTGGTCCACATCATTCAAAAAACTATTGCAGGATTTCCATTCTAAATTAAATACATCCGAGGTTACGTATTCTATCAATTCTTTATTCTTGGTATCTCAAAATTCTGAAGTCTTCTTCCTTTGTCTCCAAAAGGGAAACTGCTGAAAGCATTTCCACCTGGATGTTTAAATTATTTAAGTTACAGGAACCAGACCTTTTCCCTCCTGAGTAGTTGTGGGTTTTAAAGGCTAAAATTGCTTCATCATGCCAAAGTGAAAGTATGCATAAATTATTTAGTTAAACCTGAGAAAATACAGACTTTTCCCAGTGATCTTTCAAGGGCTGCCTACTTAAATTTCAGAAGAATGAGCAGGATTTTTTTCTTTCTTTCTTTTTCTTTCTCTTAGAAAATGTAAGTATCTGCTGTATCTTCTGTCAGTTGAAATGTGAACAAAATTACAAAATGATGATTTTTTTTTTTAAAGTCTCATAATACCCAGTATATCTATATCACGTCCAAGGTGAACTCTGCAGTGTGAATCAATACCAGTAAGACTCATCCAGCTGGCAAGAATTGCAAACCCCCACTGAATGTATTCTTACAAAAATCAGGTAACTTGCTACAGACCTCTCCCTGATGCTAACATAAAGGCTGGTGAGCTTTTCCAAGTCAGTTGCTTTCCACCCAGAGTTTATAGTTAGTTATAAAAATATAAAATAAGGTAATTTTAAGATGTTATAAAAACTTAGTTAACAGTTTTGATTTCTTTCTCTATCTTTTTTTATTTTAACTGTAGTAAATAAAGATGCCTGAAAAAGTTGAAGTAGTGTGTGGTGGTGGGGTGTGTGTGTGTGTCAGTGTGTGTGTATAACGCACACACACACAAAACAGTTGTCATCAAGTTGATTTTGATGTATGGCAACCCCACGTGTGTCAGAGTAGAACTGTGCTCTGTAGGGTTCTGAATGGCTGACTTCTTGGAAGTAGATCACCAGGCCTTTCTTCTGAGGTGCCTCTGGGTGAACATCAACTTCCAGCCTTTTGGCTAGCAGCCTAGTGCTTTAACCATTTGTACCACGCAGCAACTCTGTGTGTGTATAACACAGATTATGTTGAAGACTCAATGAAAACAGGAATAGGGGCAATAGGGGATCAATTTCAAGTTTCTGTAGAGTAAGAGACTCAGTTTCCCATGGACATTACAGAATCTATGACATTACTCAACTGTTCTCTAAATTAGTCTTAGCATTAATGCTCCAACTACATTCTCATGGCTGAGGGAGGAATAGTATTTTTAATTGAATATCTAACCTCAAATCTTGAATGAAGTATTAATTGGGGCAGTAAAAAAAAAAAAAAGTCAACACAAAAAGTACTTGCGTGAGTTATTTAGTACACAGCTGTCTGTTCCCTGGTGTGATCCATTTGCATCTTATGCTCAAAGGAATTGGGAGATGAGAGTGAATATCCTGGAAGGTCAGCATCTAATTTTGGTGATTTATCTATGAAAAAACATTTTTAAAAACCCCTCAAGTAAAGTTAAACCTATTCCATCCCAAAATGATGGATGTAACTTATCCCATTAAGACAAGTTTAACATAAATCAGGTACTCTTATTACAACTAACTTGCTTTTTCTACAACTTCAGTTCAGTTGTTATGGGCGGTAGTCCCTCCCTCTCCCTCAGCTCTGCACAGTTGTAGCCGCTGAATCAGAAGAGTGAGGATGTTATACTTGCACTACCAAATGCTACTAAATAAATAGTTAGAAATCCTATTTCGACTTTTGTGTGCTAACTTTGTACCCCGGAGGTGATCAGAAGAGCAAAGGTCGAATCTGGAGTCAGACAGGATCAGGAGTCAGGAATCAGATCCAGATTCTGACATTAGGCAATTTGGGGGAAAGTCAGTTCAATTTTCTGACTCTCATTTAACTCATCTATAAAATCATGGTAATCATAATACCCCCCCTTCAGAGGGTTTTATGAGGATCAAATTAAATATCTACAAAAGGGCTCTGCTGTCCGTAGATTAATGCGTAAATGCCACGTATTATTACATAATCACACAGTCCTCCTAAACTTTGGAGAGGAAAGAATTTTTAAGACACACATGAGACTCTGGAAATAGAGATACTTTTGAAAGCCTACAGGGACTAATAGTGCATTTCATTCTACACACATTTCTCCTGGGAGAGAGAAACGCATCCCTTTGGGGACTCCTGTCTGTCCAGGATGGTGGTGGAGAGCCCTGAATGCTGGTGTCTGTGAGAGCTGGGGTGATTGAGAAGAAATGGGAGGGAACTACGCGGTCAGGTGACTTGGTTCCAACTGCAGTAGGTTCTTAGATCCCTGAGCTGGCCCAAGATGAAAGAATAGTCAGTAAAGAGAGTCTGGCACAGTGAGCAGAAGTCTCAGTGTCATCTGATTGTGAAATATGCTTGTTTGATACTCGTACAGTACAGGAGCTTAAGCCCTGGCCACTGTACCAATGACTGTGCAAGAATAGGATCTAAGACCAAGGGCTTTTTGGACCAAGGAAGGAGGACTTGTTAGAGTTACTTGAGGAAGTCTATTGGCTCATCCCACCAAAAGCATTGATGGCATCAATTGTGGTATTTTGTGTCATGATTTTTTAATACCAAACACACTGTATAGGGAAGAATTTGCAAATGTTCCCGCATTTAAGTCAGTCTTAACCAGTGATAGAAGTAATTGGACTGGTCCACAAAAGAAAGGAATTAGAACTTTCAAACTTGTCTAATTCCCACTGCAGTCGCTTGAGGAAAATTGAAAGAGTCCAAAAAGAGATTTACAAATATTTTTTAAAAGTTTAAAAAACCCATGTACAGTAGCCCCCCTTATCCACAGTTTTGCTTTCCAAAGTTTCAGTTATCTGTGGTCAACCATGGTCCGAAAATATTAAATGAGTAGTGCAGTGACATCTCTAGCAGTCCCGTTCCATCCCACCCGGGGACCATATTCAGAGAATTTTTATTACAGTATATTGTTATAATTGTTCTATTTTATTATCGTTGTTGTTAATCTCTTACTGTGCCTAATTTATAAATTAAACTTCATCATAGCTACGTATATATAGGACAAAACACAGTATATTTAGCGTTTGGTACTATCCACGGTTTCAGGCATCCACCGGGGTCTTGGAATGTATCCCCTGCAGATAAGGGGCGACTGCTGTACTTATCGTTGAACTAATTATGATAGGAGCTGGAAGCGTTGCTCATACCCACTCAACTTGAAGTAGGAGCCCTGATGTTGCAGCGGAGCCCTGGTGGCACAGTGGTTAAGAGCTTAGCTGCTAACCAAAAGTTGGCAATTTGAATCCACCAGCCGCTCCTTGGAAACCCAAAAGGCAGTTCTACTCTGTCCTACGGGGTCGCTATGAGCCGGAATTGACTTGAAGGCAGTGGGTTTGGTTTTTGGGTGGCGCAGTGGTTGAGTGTTGGCTGCTAACCAAAAAGTTGATGGTTCAAACCCTCCAGCCACTCCGAGGGAGAAAGATGTGGCAGTCTGCTTCAGTAAAGATTTACAGCCTTGGGAGGAGCCCTATGAAGCAGCTCTACTCTGTGCTATAAGGTCTATGAGTCAGAAATTTGACAGCAGTGTTTTTTTGGGGGGGGGGGGGGGGGGAGGACGGGGGTTGGGTTTTGGCACTTAAATTTTAAATTGTTGTTTCCCTTTCTCTTACACTACTACAAGAGAAAGGAAATGCCTAGGCAAATAAACTCTTGTTAAAATAACTTTACGGTTGTGACACAGTTTGACAAAAGCAAAGGAAATTCAGAGTCACTACTCACACTCTGTCCTCCGCTGATTCCACTGTGGAAAATAAAATGCTTAAAACCAATGACAACAACAACAAAAACCCTGGAACAAACTTGGAATCGACTGTCTTAAGAGACAAGCTACTTAAACACTGAATCTCTGACTTCTCTGTCTTTGAGTTATTATAAAGGAGTTGCAACGTATGTGTTCATCGTAAATCAGCTCAGAGTTAGAGAAAAGTATTTGGCTGAGTAGTGTTTGCAAAATGTATCTCCTTTGTTTTTTTAAAGATCATGTGATTTTAACTCAAAGCAGTAACTTCTCAGGTCAGTAAGTTACCTCGAAATATACTTTAAGTAATAACAATGACTTCCTAGGATTTGGGTAAGATACTAAACATCCCTTTCTAAACACTATTGCACACGGCTAACGAGAGAGAAACATTTTGTTCTATATTTCATATTCACTACCGCTATGCAAATAATAAATCTAGCAGAGAGGTGATGTATCATTTTTTTTTTTACTATTTTATTTTTTTATTGTATTTCAGGTGAAGGCTTACAGAACAAATAGTTTCTCATGAAACAGTAGTACACATATTGTTTTATGACATTGGTTAACAACCCCACAACATGTCAACCCTCTCCCTTCTTGACCTTTGAGGACCTTTTTTTTTTTTTGGTGAAAATATACATAGCCGAAGATACACCATTTCAAAAATTTCTACGTGCACAGTTCAGTGAATATATCATTTTTATTAAACTTATAATATGCTGCACAAATAGTGTTTACATAGAAGAGTGTAAAGTTAATTCCCTCCCGGAAAGCATTTCTAAAAAATATAAATTGTATTTTGAGAGCTAATCAGTTTGGTTTGGTTTGGTTTTTTTCTCTCTTTTGGCATTATAATTGAAGCCTTCGAACTGCACACTTCCTCCAAGTATCAGAAAGTAAATATCAGTTGTGTGGTTATAAAATCAACTCTTAATTTTCTTCCAGTGAAGAAGCAGATAGTCAGCCTGTAAATTTTACCTATGTGACTATGGAGCTGCAGGGCTATAAATTCAAAACAGTATGCAGGTTGGTGGAAATTGAGGTCCAAGCAGCAAGGCATGTCCATAAACTTTTCTCAGGTTATTGGAACAGAACGAATCAAAAGCGGTTCCTGGTTGTATGATAGTCTCTTTTGATAGAGCAGCCTGCTTGTTGTTAGCAATCCAAGTGCAGAGGTTAGTCAGAGCAGAATGTAATTTCTAGCAATCTGACAGACCTGCGGATTGAAGCGGCAGGTTTTCCCTTCCGATTTCAGGGAATTGCTTCTTACTGTGACAAATGATTAGCTGTTATCTCTGAGTGAATTTGATTTCTACAAGCAGCTGAGTCAGGTAACTTTGCAGCATTTGAGGGGGTTTTTACAGGAAATGAAATCGGCTCCCTAGTCATATGCGGACCAAATGAAATCTTCCCTGCCTGGGCAAAACTGTGCTTTTGGTTAATTGGAGGCAGATTTAGCATGGAGAGTGTGTGTGGTGATGTGTGTGTGGGGTGAGTGTGTGAGTGGTGTGTGCTGGTGTGATGATGTGGGCAGACACACCCGCGTGTATACATTCACATACATGAAGGATCATTTCAGGACCCTTATAATTCAGAGCAGGGTTGAAGGTTGTAGCGTCAACTACAAGGGAAGACGGTCATGTGGTATCAGAATGGTGAGGCTCTCAAATAAACATGCTCTGCTCTCAAGAGAGACTTTAAAGCACCATATTCATCAAAATACAGTAGGTATGCATCGAGCGTGGTTGTAAGAAAAACATGCATCACAAGACAGCTGCTTTCAAAGCAAAAGGTTTAGGTAAAATAGGTTCATCCTTGACTTTCACTCAGGTTTGTGTATTTAGTGAAATAGTAAGTCCTCATGCTGGAAATGTCCTCTGGGTGATAAAACATAAAAATTTGGCATGGAAAATTCTGGGTTTACTTAGTGATTCTTGTTCATTTTTTATGGAACCGTGACTGTCTACACAGTGATGACCAGGATTATCCTTCTGTTTAATGTTCGTAATTGCTCTGGAAATCTTGAGTTTCAGTAGTTCACCTTCAGTTTTTAAGAAGGTTGTGAGTCTTTCAAAAAGTCACCATTAGAGGAAAAAGAAAGTCACCATCACACAAGGTTGTGTAATTTCTAACCCTACGATAGAGGTTAAAAATACACTATATTTGCCTAATGTTGAAGCAACATCTTTAGGATCACTATTAATAATACTTCTTATTTTGTGATGAGCATAAGACACTTTATTTATAAATCCTGGGTTAAAACTAGATTTGTGGTAATTAACTAAGAGTGAAAAGTTATGAATACACTCTGTGTCTTTTTTTCTCATCGCTAGCATATCATTCCTAGGTATATACTAATATATTCTAATATGTCATTGCACTTTAATCGAAACTTCTATCTAAATAGAATCCCTATCATGGGCAATACAAAAAACAAACAAACAAACTCATAGCAACCCCGTAGGACAGAGCAGAACTGCCCCACAGAGTTTCCAAGGAGCGCCTGTTGGATTTGAACTGCCGACCTTGTGCTTACCGGCTATAGCTCTTAACCACTACACCACCAGTGTTTCCATCATGAGCAATACTTTTGCTACATTGTTAATTTGGATACCCTAAATGGCAGATATCTTTGGACCTCTAGTTCTCATTAACTAGAGAATATTTCTTTTACATCAGTTCTACTTTTCCAAAAACTGCTTTTGCTCTTTAGTGAGTGGTGTAAACTTATAATTTCACAATGGTTTCCCATTTCTTTACTTTCCCTACTACAAAAAAAGGTGGTGGGGGGCAGTTTGGCCCACACCTCTGGTTAGTATTAATCACACAGACATCAGGTAATCACCTAAGTGCACTCAGACATACTAATAGAATGATTTACAGACCAGGTCTTTGTGTTTTTCTAAATCTCATTTTGATTTATTTAAAGGGACAGTGAAGCTAGACTCAGCTAATGAGTCTATGCATCGAAATGATTTCTTTTTCCGCCTTTGTGTTTGCTAAAAGTTTCTGACTCTGAAATCTGATGGGGTAGCCAGTGAAAAACCAGTTGAGGTGAAATACAACAAAAGAAGGTAAGGATAAAGGACCAGGGGAGACAGGGAATCTCATCTGATCCTAAGAGATCTGTCCTGGATCCAGACAGGTCTCCTTGAATCCAGAACTGCCCTGAGCAGACAGTTGGGCCCCCTTTGAATATACATATACACCCACACTTGAGTGGGTCACACAAACTGTCTGTCCGAATCATTCAATAACAGATTTGTCTTTCCTGACCAACAAGCAGTTAAGAAAGCTAAGGCTCTGTTGTATGAATATTAAATATAGCACAAACTGCTTGGCTTTGCTTAACCTTAGTTATATTAACAGATTGTTTGTTTTGATGACGGTGCTGTTAGCATGCCAGATGATAAGGAAATGGTTTTGGATTAGTTAGGCCCTATAATATAGAAACTAAATAAGATGATAGACTTACAAGGATATACATTTCCTGTAAAAAAAAAAAAAAAAAAAATGAATTCCCTTATCAGGATTTACTTGAAAGGAATATGTCTTATTACAGAAGGAGAATGCCTTGAGGAATGTGGGAAAGATTAAAGGCTTTTGTCAGTAGTTTAGGTTGGGACCAGGTTTCCTGTGTAGCCAGCCCTCCTGTCCCCACGTAAATGTTTTGCTTTTCCTCCTCTCTCTCTTTCTCTTTAAGGGGAAGAGTAAGCCCTTCTCGCTGCCTGGCGGTGTCAGATTAAATACCGAGATGGCGACAGGAAAAAGGCTGGAAGGAAAACAAAAGACAGGGGGGTGAGAGTTATCAGGTTGGCAACGGAACTGCAGGCTTGTCGGACTCCAATTTACAGAAATCCAAACAGATTTTAGTTGACACGATCTGCAATCATTACCGCCGGAGCAGAGCTAATTAAGAAATTAGCTTTCCTGATTGCCTGTTCTCACAGTGATGAGTAGTTGAATAATGTTGTATGGCTGAAATGTTCTAAAACCAGACAGTTTAACAAGTGTTTAGACTTTTGTGGTGATGCTGTATTTACTTTATCTATAATATCTCCGCGGCATCACTATTTGTTTCCTCTCTGAGGCACCCCTTGATTTCTTTTCTTTTTGCTTGGTTCACCCTCTGCCTCTTGGCATGAAGCTGGGGCCCTCCCTGACTTCAGCAGCATAAAGGAGAGAATCATCATACAAATTTGTGGTGTGCGCTGCAGCAAAAAGTTAGTAGAAACTTGTGGCACACTCAGAAACACCTTGTATTTCCTACCTGGGTATATATTTTTTCCCACAAGAAAATATTAAGGTCCAAAATAGCATGGAAAGTGGAAATTTCTGGATGTGACTAAATGTGGAGTTTATTATAAATAATGTTCAAAGCCTTTCAGTCAAACAAGGTACATTGAAGTGAGTTGAGGTCATTGGAAACTGTGGCTTTGGACCCCAGATATGTTGGAGGGGGATTTACCGTGAAGCAGCCTCACATTCTTCACAACTGACTTGTGTGAGATTCAGCTTCCTCATCTTTCCCACAAATTATCAGATTCATAGGGATGTATTATTTGGAGTAAAAAATATATTTAAAACTTAGACAAAGGAAATAATCCAAGTAAGTTTCATGGACATTGTAAAATATGACCCATGCACGTGCAATGCTACGTCATACGCGTGCATAGAGACATGTCTATGCAGAAAATTAGAAAACACAAGCACTAAAGATTTCTGCGAAAGAGAGAATAACTCCTTTCCAGATCAGGTAGAAGACCTATGTGATTACAAACTTTCTCACAATTCCACTAAATAACAGAGATTTAACAAAAGTTTCCAGGTGTCGCCGTCAAAACCACAGCAGGAGGTAAGAGTATTGCTAACTTCCAAAGTGAACTATAGCAAAGGAAGTTATGTCATACAAGATGCTTATCCTTTAGAATTTCCAGGTTTTAAAATGTAAATAGTGGTCAATGGAAGTATCAGATTTTCCAAGTTTTCCTAGTACACCTTCAATCATTTCTACATGTGTGGAAGAATACTAAATACTAACTTTTCTTAATAAGGTCCAATGACACCTTCAAATTAACCATCACAAGAGACACTAAACCAATAAAATGTGTAGCTTCCTTCTGGATATTTATTTTCCTAAAAACAGATTGCATTCATACTGGAAAACAGTGGACTACCTACTAGAAAAATCTTTTCTCCAATAGACTTCTCTCTTCCAAATTTACCTGAGAGAATTTTACAAGGAATGTGGATAGACTATTACTTCCTAAATAGATTTAAATTTAACACCAATTTGCTCTCTGTAGTATTTCTATATTGGAACTAACAGCTTCCGTAGGACCTCCACAAAGTGCCAGAAATATGATCTCATGCGTAGTAACAAATTTAAATGTGTTTTCTTTTGCACGTCTTTTCTCTCTGTGCATTTTCCCCGTCTCTTCTTTCCATGACTCCCCCCACTCCCAGGTTCTAAATCCATTCATCCACTCCAGAGACCCAGGAACACTGCCTAGGGAAAAGAGCTAGCTTAAAAAACGAACAAGACTCGGACCTGCTATAAGTAAGGTGTAATTATAAACCATGCACTTCTTTTTTATGATTCTGATTTTAAGGATTTGACAGTAGAATTATTATGTACTCCCCATTGGAATCAATACAATAAATACAACATAGCTTACTATTTAAGTCTATTACATGCCATTCTAAAATATCTGATCAGATAGAGCGGATGTCTAAAACACCAAAAGTCACTTGCCCTTTCCTAAAACATTGCAGAAGTTAGACAACTCTTTAGCGTCTGACTTATGTAAATTCCACACTAAGCTAAGAGATTTTATGGGCTGCACATTCTTAAATGCCTATACTGATCCTGACTCTGTTTGTGACCTTTAGCAAATCATTTCACCCCAGTTTTTGTCCTCTTCCTCACGAATGATGAATTTGACTTCATGGTCACAGTCTGCTGAAGGACACAGTCACATGAACAGTCAAAAGCAAGGCCAGCTCTCAAAACAGCCAGCAACTCGGTGCAGAGGCATCCACCCTTGTTCTAATTGGAAAGGAAAGAGACAGAGCTTCAAGACCAAACTTCGCCTTGCACGAAATCTGTCTAAATCTTAGCCACTACCCCTGCCTGACATCCAGTCTAAAAGAGAAACAAAGCAAAAATGTGGACTTGGAAAGATGTACTTATTATAGGTGCTCATGGAGCTGTGCTAGTATCATGGTTTTTTAGGGAGGAGTGGAGTAACTGCAGGGAAGGCGAGAGCTGCTGTTGCTTTTAGTTTGCCACTGGGGATGTTACGTTTCAGCTTGCATGTTAAAAATTACAATAGTAACCAGCAAGGAGCCAGGAGGAAATAAGGAGGCACCTTTTCCTGAATATCTATCCCTGTCCTCGGTGTTCAAACTCCACTCAGGCTTAAAAAGCCTGCTTCCTCTCTGGCCTGCTTCCTTGTGAGGTGCAGTGCAGAAGTTCATTCTCAGGTTTCTGCTGCCAGTTTTCAGTAAGAGATGCTGTGGGGCTGGCCACAGGCAGTTACTCCAGCTTGGTGTAGTGTCGCTTCCTTACCTCAGTACACAGGGCGGAGATAACTCAGCCAGTTTCTCTTCCTGATGCTGTTTAACTTTTCTTCCCTGGGATTTCCAAGGCCTGGACACTCATTTGTTTAAAACTCTCCTAAACTGCCCAACTGAAGAAACAACAACAAAAAAAACTAAGGACGACATAAGCAGCGCACCCAAGCAGGATAATTAGGATTGATGTGCTCTTTTAGGGGCACCAAATCCGCATCCTTCCCTTTCTGGTCGCATTTCTCACCTGCTCATGTGGTGCCCACCTGTGGCTTGCTGGCATTGCCAGTGCCTGCAGATGGGGAGATTTCCAAGTTCAAAATGAGGGCTTTATCTTACATGGTGGAACTCTACCGGGCCTGTGGGGCGTTCTTAAGGACGGTACGTAGTCCTAGTTCTGTGTCGCTGCTCCCTTGTTTACGTGCTTCCTCTGACTATTCCCACGCCCCCTCTCCAGATTTTTGCATGGCTTTTATAGCCTCTAGTAATTATATCAGCAGCATGGTGTCTATTTTTATCTCTTTTAAATGTGTGCAACGTAAATGTCAAAAGCCATAAAATCTCTTTTTAGCATGTACCTTGTGTGCACCGTTCAGAAAAGGGTGAGGCAGCATCCAGTGCGGCACTGTGTTTTGAGGGCAGACAGATGAAAAATTGAAAACTCCATTCCACCACTAAGCCTCACAGACTTCCAATAAGTCACTTATCATCTTGAACTTTTAGCCGCTTCTTCTGTGAGATGGAATACCACTGCCGACCTTCTAGGGTACTGCATGGCACCTAGTTCAGCGTCCGGGATAGCCCCGTGCCACAGCAAGTGCCCCCAAACTCCTAAATTTTATGTTTCATGCTTAAATATCATGACCTTTCAATGCCCTCCTTTGCCCTTTACCAAATTCAGAAGCAGAGAAAGAATAAAATCTCACCAGCTCAGCATGACTACTGCAAATTATCATAGGAATAGTCACAAAGTTGTTACACAAGACACATATAGAGAACCCACTGTCACCTACAAACTACTTAGCAAATAATAATATAATGGAAATATCTAACATCTACTAAGCATTTATTGTGTGCCAAGCTCTAGGTACTTAACCTGTTTTAACTCATCTCATCTTCACAGCCACCCAATGAGATAAAACACTGTGTTATCCCCCTTCAGTAGGTGAGGACACTGAGGCAAGTTAAATATCTTGCTAAAGTCATATATTAGTAAGTAGGGGAACTAGAATTCAAATTTAAGCCATCTGACCCCCAGCGAAAACTAAAATACGAGAGAGAAGCGCATTCATATCACTGGACTGTTCTAGCTTCTAATACAAGGTTATTTCCTCTCCTTTCACTTCCTTTTTGGAATTGGCCCATTAGGAGGCCAAGCGGGCCCCGCAGTAGGGTTGTGTGAAGCCGGAATCCCTTACTCAGCTACTAGTTAACGGTCACCATGCTTCAAGGGAAAAAAACGGGCTCAGCAGGTTCAAGTGGTCTGGTGCCATGGTGCATTTTATATGGTTCATTAGTTTATCTTTAACATAGAGTTGTAGATGGGGAGAAGAATTTAGAGAGTTGTGAGAAAATGTGTTCTAGTCAAAAGTATGCTATTGTGAAGAATAAAAAAGATGGGAGCAATGGAAGGGCATGATAAGGATTGATAATAATAATAAAAAAAAAGACATATTTGATGGCCATAGACAAAATCCAGTGATCAAAGAGAGAACATAGAGGATGTTAGAAATACAGTAAATAGCCTAATAAATTTTATGGTAGCTAATTTTTGTCAGTTTTTCGTAAGCTACTTATAAAATTATTCCAGTCATTTTTCCATTAATATCATTCCACAGAGCAGAGGAGGCCACTTATTTGTGTGGTTAAGGCTTTTACGCAGGGCTTTGAACCAGTTTGTTTTGGCTCAAACCCCTGCTGATGATTTGCATTTCTATGTTAGATTCTACAGTTTAACAAGATCCCCAGGTGATTCTTATGTATAATAAATTTTGAGAACCACTGCTCTACTAGTGGTTCTCAGAACGGGTCCCTAACCAGCAGCATTAGCATCGCCTGGGAACCTGTTAGAAATGCAGATTCTTTCTCAGCAGGGGTTCGAACCAGAAGGAACCAGTTTGAAGCCTTGCTTTTAAGACCAGGTACTCAGCAGCCCAAGAAGTAACTACATGTAAAACAGAACAGAAGCCTAAGGAAATTAGGATGTGACATTTGGAGATATATAACTTGTAGACACCAAACTACTTCAACTTTTATCAAACTTTAAAATCAGTTTTTCTGAAATTTACAGTTATTAAACTTAATCCTTAATCTTTGGTGTGGTGCCCTTGTGAGTCATCAAACAAACTCATGGAAGTTTCTGAGAGAAGAAAAAAATCAGAGTAGATTGATGATCATTAAAATACCCTGTAATCTAGGAGTACACATAGTGAGGGGCATCCAGGTACTGGGGAGGTGTCCATCGAAAGAGCCTAGGCCTTGCTGAAGGTGATGTGTACTTGTAGTATGTTATGTGAAAACAGAGCCCTGAAGACAAAGTGTATAGCTGTCCCACAGTAACTAAGTGGCTAAATTGTTCACTTACTACATTGGGCGACGGGGAAGGGGAGATGTGGAACAGGAAGGAGGGAGGGAAGGAAGGAAGGGAGGAAGGAAGGAAAATGCAGGATGTTTTAACTCCTGACATAGGGCCTGTTTAGGAGAAGAAGGGAATTGGTGCTTGATGGAGTCTTCTAAGAGCGTCGTATCAAAGTTTGAAATTTTATTGCGCACTCAGTGCGAGCATGTTTAGGTGTGTACCAAGATAGGTAGACTAACCCGCAACTCTGGATTCCCATGTTTAACTGCCTATAGGAAAGTTAGAACTTGAGCAGTTAATTTAAAGAAACAAGGAAAGAGTGGAGGAGGAAGAAAAGGAGGAAGGTAAATGGCACTGCGTATAGAGCATCCATACTTGTCTTACCTAGTGCAAGGCTAATGCAACAAATTTGATTGAAAAATAAATGTATGGATAAGTTTTCACTTTGTTTTAAAAGGGTCCAATTTAATAATAACTTTCTAAGGCGCTGAGACCATTGAAACAGTAAAGCTACCAGTAATTATAATCCTCAGATTCCCCAAAGTGGAAAGTTCTATGAATGACAGTGCATTTGCTACTCAGGTAAGGTTCTCTAGGAACTTTCTCTGGTTCTGATTTCTATTTTCCAAAATTTCTGTCTTCACTTTTTTTTTCCAAAAAATAAAAAATAAAAGAGGAGAAGTCTTTTTGTTATTTTGTGTGTGAGCGTGGTGGCATTGTTCTGTCACTGTTAGGGGGTGGTTAAATGAAAGCCCAAATGATTTGCGACTGAGAGCAAAAGGTAGCACCTGAGTGTCTTCTGTGAGGCCAGGGTGCTTCCTTTAGATTTATGTATATCCGTAATCCGCTTAACTAAGCAGGTAAGGTGTTCATTAGCTAGACTGGGTTTTAAAAGAGAAAGAGAGAGGGAGACAGAGAGAGAGAATGAATGTAGAAGAGTGAGAAGGACAAACAAGTCAAAGCATTTGTTCATGCTGCAATCTACACATCAATTATCCCGCTGTGCTAATTACCACCTTTCCATACCCCAGGTACCTAAGCATTCACACTTACTCACTCTTTCATGCCTCTGATCAAAAAAAAAAAAAAAAGAAAAGAGAGAGAGAGAAAAGAAGAAGGAAAAAAAAAAAAAAGAGGAAAGAAATGATAGAAGCAGGGGGATGATGAACCCAGCGGCGAAATGAATTCTTAGATCAGAATTTCTCTCACATATGAAAGTATAAATAAGGAGTCTTCTCCATTTCTCCCTTGTTGTTTTGGACAATTAAACATTTGCAAATGTTTTAATTGCAAAATATTACTTACTGTCAGGCTTCCAGGAGGGCTTCTATCAAGTCAGCCCTTGTTTTGATATTTAAAAGAAGATCGAGGTGAGAATTGCTGGTCTTGCCTGAGATTCGGGGGTAGCGCCATTAGAATGAGATCAGATCATTAAAAGCCAGTGACTACTAATTATCAGGCTACTTTTCTGAGGCTATT